ATATTGAAAAAACAGCATTTAACGGCAACAGTATTAAATGTATTGGTGTTTTTTTCCAATTGATATCAAAGCCAACACAGTACACTTTGATAATTTTTAGTCAATTTTATGTTTTATCCATATTTTGCTGCATTAAATTTGTCAACCCTTTAATCGCAGTTACAAATCTTCAATACTGATATATACCAAAAAAAAAAAAAAAACAACTATAATTTTTTAACAACAAAAAAAGAAGGACTTTTTTTTTCATTAGTTTTAAGCAAATTTTTCACAACTAATATCTTTATACACCACTAAACACCCAAATCAACAGCGATGTATTTTCCCAGGAAAAATTATGTGTAACCTAAACTAATTTACCAAATAATACTTCCACTTCAACCAACAAAAATCATAAAAATATCTCTGCTGATTTGAAATAGCTTTGTTCATCAGATTATAAATGTAGTTTAAAGTTGATTAATTGCCGGTAATTGACTGATAAAGTTCAATGATAAAACTAATAAAAGATATCGCTATTTACACAGCTTTTAAACAACTTACTGAACACTATTAAGTTTACAACACAATAGAAATCCTCAGTTCCCTTCAGAATCGATTGCTGTAGTCTTATTTCTTTTGTAGTATCAACGTATGCAAATTATCTTTTCAAAACCTCAACTGATACTGTTTAGCGCAAAGATTAATGTTGAAATATATTTAAAAATTTTAAGCCGTTATTCTTAACAGTATGAAAAAATCATTGCAGCAAAAAAGTATAAACAATGGAAATTTTTACGAGAACTTTGTTAATCTTCTACTAAAATTACTCAAAATTTTCTTGACGTTTAGGCTACGAAAAATGACTGATCGGCACTAATAAAGTGAAAAATGAAGTTCAAAAGATAAAGAATTGACAAGAAAAAAAAAGCAAAAACTTTCCGATATATAATTCATTAACTTAAAACGACACAACCTTTGTTATAGGTTTGAAAATGAACAACGAATTTATGAATTTATATAATAACTTTCATATCTTAAAAACATTATGCATGTTCAGAACGAACTAAGTATTTAAAGTCTGACTACAGTTACAATGTTCCATATGC